GATTCCGCCTGCTCCTGATTGCTGCAGCATGGGAGGCCATGCGCGACAGCGTTACTGTTGACGGTGGAGAGGAGATCATCGGCAAGGAAGGTGACCTTAATAATCTAGGCATGAGATTGATATTAAGGTAGATTCTTTCTCTGTTTCTCAATTCCATCAATCTCCTCCTGAGATCCCCTCCCAGATCTCACAACCACAACTCTCGCTTTCTCAGCTTGCTTATATTTATGATTTGGTAACAAGTTGCCCTGGTGTTTGCTTAGGTTTCCCCTAATTTTGTATGCTTTTGTTTCTATACGTGTTAGGTTATGAGGGTTACAACTAGATACAAACCTTAACAGGGACTTATCTTCTTGGGATGCAAAGAATGAAGTTAAATTAGTCGTTCTGTGTGCACTTTCTGTAGGTACTGTCAGGGAGATGGCCAGTTAATCTGTGAACTTTCTGTATTCGAGAGATTGTGTCGGCTGTGAGTTCATGCAGATTTTGGTTCTATCATGCACAGTAAAAACTTATCTGCTCACATACGTTCAGCTGCTGCAGATGATGCATGGGTATTGCAGTAAATATGTTAACAGTATAAACTGAACAATCGATTCGGTAACTCTACTTTTGGTTTGACGGATCTATAGCTTATGGAGAATTCATGCAATAGACATCTAAAGTTGAAACTTGGAGATCATCTTATATCCTCATGTTCACCTCTCAGTTCTCACCTTTTTTTTTTCTCATTCCTTCATCCTTCATTTAAGCAGAAATTCAATTTCATTTGCTCAAGGTAGCTGCAAGTCGCATGTATAGTTTCTTCACTTAGGCCCCCCCTGAGAAGAAAATTATTGTGTTTTAGATGAAGTAATTGGTATGAAGAATGTGTGTCATACCCAAATGAGTTAACATGCTTTTCATTATTGTCAGTATGATGATCATGAATGGCTAGGATACTTTAGATCAAGCATATGAGTTGGGGTTGGGGTGTACTCTGGATGAGTATACTGTTGAGAGTAGATCAGTGAATTAAACAAGCTGTGGGCATAAGTGGCATGACCAAATGCCAGTAACGATAAAGCTCTTCGCTACTTGGATACTGGCAGCATATCACACTGAGCAAGGAGGAAACAACACTTGGATGTTCCTTGCGAAAGTGTTTTAACATGTGAAGCTACATTCCAGCCCAATCAATTACTGTTATCTGAAATTGTCTTGGGAGCAGCGAGCTAAAGA